AAAGTGAGGAGCCTTGCACTGAATTAAGGCTTCTCTGCTTTCTTCCTGGGTGTCTGTTAAGCCTTGCCGTACATGCAGGATAGTACATGTGGAAATAGTAATTGCAAGCCCATTATTATTATTGCTATAATTTATTATTAGTGTGTTTTTTATTTTACGATGCCCACGTGTGCAGGTAATTCACAGAGAAGTACACTTAACACCGGTGGAAGGTGGGAAGGCTTAGTTAACTGCAATAGCCTTGGATCCAGTTTTGATACCTGTTTCTGTCATAAAACTTCCTCCCCTGACTTCAGGCAAATCACTTCGCGGGAGCTTCTGACAGCCCCGTTGTACTGAACAGCGCTTTGGGAGTGAGTCAGCCCTGGAAGAACCCTGCTGTCGGTTTTCAGCGAGGGGCAGTTGGTTCGGATCCTCTTAAGTCCGCGTGCACCTGACCCTCTTCCATGCAGGGAAATAGCCTTACCGCTGTGCAGCGGGGGGAAGGAGGGATTCAGTAAGTCAAACTCTTACAGAGTTGTGAGTTGCTGACTGTGAGATAAGGCAGATATGAAGGCAGATAAATATCTGTTTCAATAAGGTTACGGCCTAAATAGAAACTACACAACAAATACGGTTGTCTCCTATCTTACACTAACGACAGCAATTCCTGCCTAAGAGCTGGTACTGGAGAAGGCTGACGTGGCTTTGACGGCCTCACTCTGGCAGGGTACGGAGATCTCTTATCTACATTTAGGGAAAGCATCCGAGGCGCTGGGTGCTGGATCAGTCGGTGGGTCCCACCTTTGCGGAGAGGATGCCGGAGCAGTGCTTACATTCCGTCAGAAGCGCTCATCCAAAGGAGGCGGCTTGGGGCTGCGCTCAGGCTGCCTGCTTCGGTGTCTGATCGAGGAGGAAGACCAATTCAGATTACCAGAGAGCAGTGACCCTAAGCCGGGCTTACGTGAGGAGGGCCGCAGGCAGAGTCCTGCCCAACAAATGGGATCCAACCGTCAGTCCATTGACTCCAACGTGGGTTGGTTGGTCTGTCGGTCGGAAGGGTATGGCCTTCCACACGGTGAAATCAGAGCTGCTAAGGTGAATCTTTCCAACTTCCTCATGTAAGGCTGGCTTTTTACAGCTTTGCAATATGTCTGCAGGATGTTTTCATGAACCGAATGTTTGCCAAAAGTTCACAGATCAGTTACAAAACAGATGTACTTTTTTTTTTTTTTTTTTTTTTTTTTTTTTTTCCTCCCTTTCCTACTGGTAAGGAAGAGTTTGTGCAGTAATTGCAGGCAGGTTGGGAGATGTTTTCTTCATAATTCTCCTTCTTATGAAATGTTTATGAAACACCTTCCACAAATCGGTTACGCAAGCAAGCTGAAGAGCTTTGATCATTTTCCATCGCCCTCAATATGTTTCTTAGTTTGTTTTGCTTTTTGTTTTTGTTTTTAGGCCAGAGATAGGTAAGAAACAATCCATCCTTGGCCAGGCCCAGCAGATGTTCTAGCCAACTAAGGAAAGGACTCTCTTTCCATCCAGTCACCCTTCCTGTGTTTTTCACTCTGACTGCCTGAGGGCAGCTGACCCTATTTTAAGGCTGTGAAAACATCCACTTGAGATTTCCAAGTGTGATTCCTTTCCTATCCCGGAGGAACCCTCGGTAGCTCGACGTACGGGTGCCGCCACCTGCCGTTCCCTCCTCCGGAGAAGCTCCAAGCTGCTCCCAGCCCTGCCCGGAGACTCCCCTCAAGCCCAGGGGGAAGAAGATGTCTGTAGATTCACGGCTGGCCACCCAGGCTCCGCATCTCTCCCTAGCTGGATGAGTTTGCAGCCCATTCCTTGGTCCCGCTGGTTTACACGTCGTTTTTTCCTTAGACAGCGTTATTTCCCCAAATCAAATGCAACGGGAAGAAACTTAGCTCTGCCCTCTGTGACTTCTTGTTCCCCATTCCCTCTCTGGCCTGATTGTCATGTCAAACCAAGGTCCTGAGGAAGCCCAGTGGGATCTGGTTTTAACCAAATCACAGTCGCTTGCAATGTCTTAGCAGGGTTCTCATCAAATTCCTACATGAGGTGATTCTGTCATAATTTCAAACTTTTTGGTTCCTTAAAGAAAACTTCTCTCGTGTTTGTGGAAGGTGCCTGCAAATATGAGTCAGATGCACTGGGAAAGGAGAAGGCAACTCCTCCCATTGTTTTATTAATTTGAAATTTACATTATTTTAAGGGAGTCTCATGATATTGAGTGGCCTCGCCCACAATGTGTGTGGTTTTTTGGGGTTTTTGGTTTTGGTTTTTTTAATGTACAGTTGGTAATACTGCCGGTTTAGCCAGGGAAAAAAAAAAAAAAAAAAAAAAAAAAAAAAAAAAAAAAAAAGAAGGTGCAGGATTTGCATAAACCGTCCCAAAAGTTTTGGATATACCCCGAATTCTTGCTAATGAACAATTAGCCAGCTGCAGGCCTGTTGGGCAGAGGAAGAGGAGGGAGAGGTAAATTTGAGCCTAAACCCAATAAAAATTGGTGCAGGGAAGAAGGATTTGTCAAGAACACACAGGTTCCCGCCCACTGCGCAGGAGGGAGCCAGAGAATTCCAGGGACGGGGGAAGGAGCAGTGGGAGATGTTGTTGTTTTTAAATCAGGAACCGGTCCTTTGCCAAACCCACCTCCCATTCTCATATTGTGCGATGCCGGGATGCAGCTACACACCCCTTTCACCCTGGAATGCTTCCAAATCATTCCGCTTGGCAGCTGTAAAAATTGATTTCAGTTTGGAAATGGCTTGTGCTTCTTCAACACTTCACTCCTATTGGGACCACAACTCAGGCGGGATCAAGTGCCTTGCTCTCTAAGACACGAATAACTTTTCTTTTTGGGACTGTTCAGACTTGGATGACTACGTTGTGTGAGGCAGACACACATGAATTGCAAGCAGGAGTAAATTTTTTTTTTTTAATTATTTATTTTTTTTCCTTTTTGGCTCAGATGAGTTCTTTTTAATGAGCCGTCAAAGAAAAACGTGCATGAATCCATTTGCCTGCAATGACTGGATGGCTCAGGGGTAACGGTGTATTCTCCCGAGCCTTTTGTCTGACATTTAGGAACTTAGACGCTATCCGCGTTGATAGTGATCAAGAAGATCCTTCCATCTGATTTTTTTTTTTTCGCCAGGCTAAGAGGGATGATCATGCCAACCTGAAAGGTAGGAAAGAACTGGAATTTATAGCATGTATAACTCTTGTTGCAAGGAGCTAGTATTATTGCAAAACTAGTTTCGGCAATATCCAGAGCTATAGTTGTAATGAAGGGAGATGTTGTAATTCTCTTCCCTTCATGTAGGACCTTCCAAAATGTAGAGAGGTTAAAGTTACGGGGCCAGCTCCCTGCACTGCACCTTGAGCCTCTCGTGATCACATTTTCTCCTTTGCTCCCGCTCCCGTGGGGATTTGTGTGTTTGTTTGCTTTAGTCAAATTGAATTAAAACCTCCCGCAACCAAATATATTCGCTTGGGCCATTGTTTTTTAAAAGCTGAATTTCTTGTCCCCCTCTGCTGGTGGGAGGTTGTATGACCTAAAGTCCACACCAGCACTGCAAGACCCTGGCATCGGTGACCCCGCTTGTCTCCTGGGGGACGTATTGCTTGGGAGTAATTTGATGGGAGATGGTGAGGTTCAGCCCTAGTAGTAAGAGTGAATCTTCAGTGCTGAGCCCGTGGACAGGGTTTTCAAGACCCGTCCTTTCTGGTGTCCCCCTGTTTTTTCCGGTCTGTGTAAGCTGAAGCATCTTCTTGAACTGGAAAGGCTTAGATGAGGAATGGGACTCATGATGTGAGGAAAAACTCGAGCCTAAGTTTCCAAATCGTTTGCTTGGATCTTTTGTTAGAGAAAATGCGTTCCAAGAGCTCTGTATGACTTTTCTCTCTCCTGTGGATGGCATCGGCGCAGAGAGACTCTTCAGGCAGCTTTCAGAAATTAATCTAAAAACTTCTAAAGTCTCCTCAACCAGGTCCCCCCTTCTCCTGCCCCCGTCAGCCTTATCAAAGGATTTAAGCTAGTCCAAAGTGATGTAACAGTTTTTTAGTTGGGTTTAGGGGTTGGGTTTTTTTTGGTTTGTTAGGTTGGTTATTTTTTTGCTTTTGTTTTTAAATGTAGTATCAAGATTAGAAAGTAACATGGAGACTATGGAATAAACCAGAACAAGGATTCCATTCTGGTCCTTGGATAAATTCTTCTCTTAATAATGTGGACTCAGAAGTCATGATTTTTTTTATTTTTATTTTTTTTTTGTAGACAGGAACATTTCTTGAAGTCTCAAGTAGGTCGAAATGACCACTAGACAAAGGGCTGACAGCTGTGAAGTTTGCCAGTTCTTTTTTCCACAGCTTTTAATGAAGCGGATTTCTCCTTGCCAGACCAGTGCAATTTTTTGTTGCTTTCTGGTAGAAGCTAAGCAAATACGTTTGATGCCTGTGGTGCTGCATTTTCAAGTCTGGATGATTACACTGCTTTTTGAGGTCTTTTACTTCATGACCTTTCCTTTCGTATCCCCTTGTACCTGCAGAACAAAATGAGAGGCCATCCATAACCAACCCCATATCGGTTTGCGAGCTGTGATTTATAACGGAGAACTGCTTTGTGTCTTCCTTGTAACTCCACAAAATGCCTCAGTGTGTTTGTCTGAGGAAAGCACTCACATGCGTAAAACTTGCTAGGTCACTGGAACTTGGTTAACTTCCTAAAGCGTTTTCATCCGTGTGTTTTAACTGAGCAAACTGCAAGCTTCCCCTTGGCTTGGCAGAGCAGGAAAATTATGTCCATGTTATAAACTGGAGAGCAGAAGGGAACGACCACGCCTGTCTGCAAAGCCAGGGATGGAAGCAGTGAGTCCTGACCTCTCACTTTTCCCTGAAAGGAGCCTCTTCCCGATCCTTGCAGCCTCTCAGACTCCAAGCTGCCCCACGCCTCCCGCATCCCCTTGTCTCTGCTCCCTAACCCTACAATTCGTTCTTTTTTTCAGATTAAAACCGAAGACCTCAGCGACTCCTTGCAATCCACAATCCCCCCTAGGTCAGGTCACCTTGTGCAGGGATCATCAATGATGCCCGGAGGCCAAATCGCAGGGGTAAGTGACTTTGCTGCTTGAGGGATCCAGAAGCCTGTAACGGCACTGGTTGGTGAACCTCTGGAGAAGCAGCTGGTTTTGAGACACTTGCCAATTTACGTATGCGTTTTGAACGTGGCAAAAGAAGACTCGAGGGTATGATGGACTAAATTGGAAAAGTGAACCTGTGTTGGCAAAAGGCAGCTTCCTCCTCAGCCTCTTTCTCTTCTGCAGGAAGATTTACATGGGTTCAAAGGTAGACTGGACACAAACTTGGAAGAGATTTCCTTTGAGGGTTTACTAAGTAGGCAAACCACACGATGCTCAGGAAATCCCTTGAACTGAAAATAATTGGAGACTGAGACAACACCAAGGGGAAGTGTTAGATATACTTGCCCTGGTCTTCCTCTTTCACGAATGTCTGTTTAATGCTATTGTTGGAGATAGGATTCTAGGCTAGGTTAGCTCTTGATCTGAACCACTGTAGCCATCCTTGAATATGTTGCCTCAAATTGATTTACGCCAGAGAATAAATTAATTCCTTGAGGGATTTTTTTTTTTTTTTTTTTTTTTTTTTTTTTTTTTTTTTTTTTTTTTTTTTTTTTGCACTAAGGTAAAAAAATTGGAGATTAGCACTTAACTCTTATTAAATTCTAGTGGGAGTTAGAAGCCAGAAGGCCACACAGCTGCTCCATAATCTCTCCCCTCATTCTTTCACGGGGTATTTCAGAGCCCTTACACAACTGAGGGACTGTTCAATTTCCTCAAAGCTTCAAAACAATTCTTGAGAAGCTCAAAGACTCATCTTCTTGAGTAATGATTTCCTTTAAAAATGTGCCTCTAAAGCAAGTTGCTCTTATTAGGGCATTATTTTTTTTTTGTATATCTATCCCAAGCAAATGCAAAAAAAAAAAAAACCAAAAAATACAGCCGAAAACTTCAGATCCTGGTGTACCTCTGGATCTGTAGCTCTCCAGTGCATGAATTAGATAAATCTGTCGCGTTGAATGAAAAGTGTGAATGGGGTGAAGGAGCAGGGAAGCCTTATGAGAGGTGATGCTGTGCAAAGACCCTTGTGTTCCCTTTGCTTTCCCCATAGGATATGAGCTCTCTTCACACCCTGCAGCAGCTTGTATTGCTTCCCGGTCACATGCAGTCGGTTCCCCAGTTTCTTCTGTCTCAGTCTCAGGCTGGGCAACAAGGTAAGAGAAATAAAAGCTGCCAGGGCATCGTTATAAGCAGATACACATCTAGGAAAAACTTCCCTTCTCGTGACTGTTGCTTTTAACCCGATCTGTTTTCCCAGGAGGAGGGTGTCTGCTCCCCCGCTATGTTCCATTTTCCCCCTGTGCTGGTTCCCACCCCTGGGATGCTCCCGGACGCCTGTAGCTGCTCCGGGAAGGGTCCCACTCGGGAGATGCTCCTGGCACCTGTGGCTTGTGTGCACCAAGAGTGCCACCTTGGGGCCAGTCTTCACAGGCTGGGTAGGGATCCCGCCTCTGAAATTCAGGATAGCATCTGCCTGGCTCTCAGCAAAACAGCAAGGAGCCTGCTCCTTGGGGAGCAGTTGCAGCCTGCCTGGGCTCCCAGCCTCGCTGGGTTAGCACTCTTCGTTTCTTCCAGAAAACTGATGAGAGGTTGAGTTGATCTCTCTAAGTACCTTAGAGGGAGAAGCAAACCCAGGGAAGGAGCTGAGCTGCTCTGCTGGAAGGACGATGCTGGCACCAGAACAAAGAGGTCTAACCTAGCCAGGAGCAACGTGGGGATGAGAGCTGAGGAGTTTGGAGTTGCCAGTGGTTGTTCCCAAATCTCGCTCCAAGCCATGGGGCAGGAGAGGACAGGAGGTCTAACTCCTTCTGAAACCCCGTGTAATCAGCTCCACGAAAGGGGTGAAAGGACTGAGGACAGAACTCTATGCTTGGGAAAGTCCTTGTGTTTCTATTTTTACTGCCAATATTTTTCGTGGCATTTCTCCAGCAACGGGGATACAGGCGTGCCACTGATGAAGTTCTATGCTGCTTATGGACAGGCAAACATCAGCTCTGATCCATCACCTGACGGACGCAAAGGGGCATGGGTCCTTTGCTCACATTCCTGATTTATTTCAGCACAGAGGTCGCTCCACATGAATCAAAATTCCGAACTAAAACCTTAAAATCCCTGCAGCTGGAATCCACTGGTACACACGCTCAAAAAAAACCACCCTGTATTGTGTACGCAAGTGGGAAACCTATTTCTCATTGACAGCATATAAACTCTTCCTTCTACCAAATGATTCTGAGTGATGTATAATGAAACTACTTGATGTATATTTACCGATAATCTAGAATCCACTTTGTATGAAATGGCAGGGTCAGGATAACCTATTGCTTACTGCCTGCTTTTGTTCGTGTATAATAGGAAACGCATTACACCACAAAACAGAAACTTGCTTCCTTTTAATAGAGTTAAAGAGTTTCTTCTCTAGAGAAGAGAGTTTCTTCTGCTAAGCGACTCCCTCTGGCAGCTATAACCCCTTCAACAGATGGCCACTTGTTTGGCCACGAACCCTTTTGGTTCCGGACTTGATAAAGACTGGATATCCTGGCCCGTAGCCGGCTTTTTGTGCAAGAGCACTTCTATTTGAATAGATAATTGCCAGGTTTTAATGATCCTTTACCATGTGATGCACAGCCACTGGGGAGTGAAAGTGAAGGCACAGAATGGTTTTGTGGAATTAGTCGTTTGGTACAGATAGAGTCAGAGTGTTCTTCATACCAAAGAGATGAGCAAAATATCCCTGAAATCGTCCCTTGGACTTTCATGGGGACACCCTCGATGTTTCCTGAGTTCTGACTGGTGGGCGCATCAGTTCATGGATTTCATGGCCAATGAGACTTGGCTGTGGGCCTAATCCTTCCAAGAGCACACGCATTTTGGTTTGTTTTTCTTTTAAAGCTGGTTTTAATCCAGATAAGTTCCCAGGTCTGATTCATTGTGCAGCCTTTCAAACAGCTAATGCTGACACATTTGCATAAGGGGGTGAGAGCTCTGTGCCACGAAGGTGGAAACGAGCAGCCAGGTAGATGCTGGGAATGCTGTCAGCCAAAATATTGCTGCTGAAGTCTTCATCTTACGAAAACACAGCCTCGGTCTCATCAGCTGTCAAACCGGTGAATCCTGAATCCAGTCCATAATTTTCATTTGAGCTAGAGCTCAGCTTTCGCAAAGGTGTTCAATCATGATTTTAAAGACTCCAAATGACAGAGCATCCGCCATGTCCCTAGGCAAGCCATTCCGGTGATTAATTATCTTCACTGTTAAAAATGTGCACCTCATTACCAGCCTGCATTTGAAATTCAAAGTTGTTCCAGCATTAGAGGAGGCTTATTGAAACACCAACCTAAATAAATAAATGGGATCCTGCACATTCAAACCTAAATTTAAAAAAGGAAAGACAGAAAGAGAGAGAGGGGAGAGTGATTGATTCTGGAGATGATCTTTTTTTCCTTTTTTTTTTTTGAGCTGAAGTCCATAAATTTCTATAGTTTTCCCTATAATTGTCAGTTACAATCAATAGAATATATCGTCTGTTTCAAGAAAGGTTATAAATCCTCACGGAATTCTACAGGCTTCACCCACAACAGACTTGAAGAACCTAACTAAATTTCTAGGGGACTACACTGCTTCAGTTGCTACTTAATCCTTTGGGACGTTCCTCATAAGAGATATAGGTTTGTACTTGGCAGTTTGTCAACCGAACAATTACGCAGTCTATAAATACTAGTTTTTGTTAGTTTTATAGATTTCCCTTCTTCTGTCCTTTCATCATTTTCTGTCAGTTTATATATTCTGAAAGAAATTCAATTTATTTGAAATACAGTAGGGTAGAGAAGAAAGGGTCAGATGGCTTCAAAATGACACTTCAAAATGAAATGTATAGTAGAAAGCAGAGTGGGTAGGCTCATGAGATTAACTGTAGGATCGGGATTTTTTTTTTTTTTTTTTTTAACAAGATCAAGTGGCTGAAAGTTGCCGTCAGAAAAGCTCCTGTTGGACATAAGATGCATGGTTTTTTAACAGCTACAATGATTAAGCACTGGGAGAGATCGCCACTGAGGATGTAGTAAATTCTCTGCTGTTTGACATCTAAAATCAAAGTTATGTCTATGTAAAATGTCTGTGCCCTGGTTCAGCCTTAGGTTAATGAGCTACATGCAGGGATCAGTGGATGAGATATTTTACCTATATCATTACTGTAATAATCCCTTTCAGGCTAAAAAGCCATGAAAAGAACCTTTCCTTTCTCATAATCCAATTCAGAGCCACCCACATTTGTAATGGCTGGAATCCTCTTATTTTGAACAAGAGCTAACTAATGTTTTCCACTCAGGGCTTCAGGAGCTTTTCCTGTGCAGCGACGTTGAGCTGCCTCGGTGCTGGTGAAGGAGCTGGGCTGATCGGATCTGTCTCTCTTTCTCTCCCCAGCTTTGCAGCCAAACATCCTCTCCTTCCCTCAGCAACAGGGCAGCCTTCTCCTCTCCCAGCCGGGACCCAGCCTGGCGTCACAGGTAACCTCCCTCACAGTCACAGAATCGGTAGGTTGGAAAGGACCTCGAAGCTCCTCCAGTCCAACCGTTAACCCGGCACTGACAGTTCCAACTACAGCAGATCCTTAAGCACTAAATCAACCCGACTCTTCAACCCCTCCAGTGATGGGGACTCCCCCCCTGCCCTGGGCAGCCCATTCCAACACCCAACAGCCCCTTCTGCAAAGAAATCCTTCCTAATATCTAGTCTAAACCTTCCCTGGCGCAACTTGAGGCCATTCCCTCTTGTCCTATTGCTTATTACTTGGCTCCAGAGACTCATCCCCCCTCTCTGCCCCCTCCTGGCAGGGAGTTGCCGAGGGCCAGGAGGTCTCCCCTCAGCCTCCTCTTCTCCAGACTGAACCCCCCAGTTCCCCCAGCCACTCCCCAGCAGACCTGTGCTCCAGACCCTGCCCCAGCTCCGTTGCCCTTCTCTGGCCACGCTCGAGTCATTCAACAGCCTTTTGGGGTGAGGGGCCCAGAACTGAACCCACTCATCGAGGGGCGGCCTCCCCAGTGCCGAGCCCAGGGCTCAGATCCCTTCCCTGTCCCTGTGGCCACGCCAGTGCTGACACAAGCCAGGATGCCGTTGGCCTCCTTGGCCCCCTGGGCACCTGCTGGCTCCTGTTCAGCCATACATAACGTACAGTCCCCCCTGAGAAGCACCCACCTACGAATCGTGCTGCTTCATTAAGGGCCAGTGGCAGAGGAAATGGTGTGGTTTTCTCTTGTTGTGACTCTACGCATATTTTTTGTTGTTTTAATAGGCCGTGGGCCGTTCTGGACTCCCTGGCTCATCAGTTGAACCCCACCTGGATGTACCCCAGCATTTGCAAGTGGCAAAGCACCTAGCTCCATCAGGAGCATCTGAGGAACCCAGTGACCTGGAGGAGCTGGAAAAGTTTGCTAAGACTTTCAAACAAAGGCGAATTAAATTGGGGTTCACGCAGGTGAGCAGCCTCATCAGTGGGAAGGGTGGAGCCACCTGTGATGGGGACATGTTGGGCTGAGGGAGTTTGTGGCAGAGGCATGGATGGAGGAAGGGCTGGATTAGATACAGTTTGGGTTTCTTTGGAGTATCCCCTTCCAAACACACGAAGGGACAAACCCACCTTAACACTTCATTACCACGAGCTCATTATCTCCACCTTCTCCAGTCCACAAAGGCCTCAGGGGTGTGGGGCAGGTTCCCATGGGAAGAGAAATCACTTCCTCTGCAACACAGGTCACGGAAACAAGGCTGAACCTATTCTGGAAGCAACCTGAGAGGTGGTCGGACAGCAGGAAGCTGTGGGGGGTTTTCTGAGCTCGTGTTGTGATTTGGATCTTCTCTGGCAGGGTGACGTCGGACTTGCCATGGGGAAGCTCTACGGCAACGATTTCAGCCAGACCACTATTTCCCGCTTCGAGGCTCTCAACCTGAGCTTTAAGAATATGTGCAAGCTCAAACCCCTGCTGGAGAAGTGGCTGAGTGACGCAGGTAGGTGACGTTACATGCAGAAACGCCACCAGCCTTGGACAGGGTGAGAGGATCCAGCCAGGAGCCCCCAGTAAAAGCCAGGAAAATCAAAGCTAGAGCTATGACCTCTGAGATCCGTGGCCGGGCTGGTGACAGACTGCCTTCCCCTGCGGATCACATGGCGGGTGGCACAGCAGGCAAGATATCAAACCACATCTATCTTTTCTCATGGCAATTTGGAGTCGGGGGGCAGTCCCTGCATCACCTCTTGCTGTGTTGCTTGGCCTGGGGCAAATCACTGGGCTAGTCCGTTCAGTCCCTCCTGTGTAAGCCAGAAAGAATAGGAAGGGACTCCTCCTAAAATGCTCAGAGATCTGCCCACGAGCAGTCATTAGAAACGGAAGGTATCACGCAAGGGGAATCCCCGGTAGCAGCAGGATTAGGCTGATGTCCTCTGCTGACTGCAAACTGCTGGAGGAATGACATTAGTCTGATGTGCTTCACCCAGCCCGTCAGGAGTTGCGGGTTTGACCAATTTATAATGTCAGGAGGTGTCTCAGCTACATGAGGCCTGAGCCCGGAGGTGTAAGTCAACATCCTTAACTGTGTGAAATTGCATCACTGGAAAATGCGTGGTCCCCACCAGAGCTGGCTGGAAACCAAGCTGGAAAAAGGAAAAACAGTGTGTTGATTAAAATCTTAGCACTCATATTTCTTTCATGATTTTGGACAAGATCGGTGATGGATTGGGACTGCTGGAGCAATTCCGATCATCATCAGAGGAAGGATCAACAACGCAGGAACATTTTACTTATTTTTAGGAGGTGCCATAATTCCCAGAAGGGATCTAGGAATGAAAATAATTATCTTCTTGAATATCTCTTTTCTCCTCCCTCTCTCCCCAGAATCTGCCCCTTTGGATTCTTCCATGAGCACTCCCAATTCCTACCCCTCAGTGAATGAGATGTTTGGACGGAAAAGAAAGAAGCGAACCAGCATCGAGACCAATATTCGCTCCACGCTGGAGAAAAGATTTCAAGATGTGAGGGGAAAATCTTGCCGTGTGTTGTGAACTCTCTCCGAGTTTAGCATTTGTGAGGTCATAGTGGCACTGAATCCTCAGAGATTTCTTTTGTTTGTTTGTTTTGGTAGCAGGTTAGAAAGGGGTTAAGAGGAAAAGGGTCAAAACCAAAGAAATTGGATCAAATTATTTTTTGGTAAAGCTCTTTGCGGGCCTGTGTCGCTGGGACTGTGTGGCCATGGTGCAGCACGGAAACGGATGCCTCGTTAAACAGGTCTTGTGAGACCCCCAGGTATTGCTGTCAAACCATTTTTAGAAGTAGAGACTTTTACACTTTAAGCTTGAGGGTTTTCAAGAAAAATCACTACAGAGAGCAAACGGGGCTTTAAATCAGTAGGAATAAATTGTGCGTTGAGAAGTTTTCATCAAAACTGGCTTTGACCAGCCCCCAGTTTTTCTTGGCTTCTCCCTCAGATCTGATCATATAAAAATTTCCTCCTAAGACTGTCAATGAGAACAAAAGACAGGCATTGCCAGATCATTATCAGCACTTCATTTTTAGCTAGTATGAGGCATTCTTTGTAATGGGAAAACTGTCTTGGCATCTCCCTCCGACTCAGACCAAAACCCGTAGAGCTAAATGCTGTCAAATGCACCAGAAAATAAGTGACTCAGAAGGAAGGATAGGTACTATTATTTCCCTTTATAAATAAAGGATGGAGGAAGAAAAAGAAATGGCTTTTCTGCGACGGTGCAGGTAGGCGTACAAACAGCACTCAGCGCTCGTGTGCCCGGTGTAGTGACAACAAGACCGCAGTCATTACCGTCCCCCCAGCAATGCTTTAGGGCGCTGGTGAGACCAAAGCGCGTGGTGCTTTGTGCAGTAACAGGGCCAGGGATGTGACTCATCCCCCGCTGATTCCATGAGACTCGATGTTGAATCAGAGGTGCTTTCTGGTTCACAGAACGTAAGCCCTCACCCAAATATTTACCCTTTGTCTTAGAAGCAAATTTTCTCCCCTCCCCGGTTTCCAGCCAACCCCACCTCTGCCCTTCCAGCAGCAGAAGCATACGTGATGCTGTAGGTTACAGCTCCTGGGGGATCTTTAACCTCCTGCCCTTTCTCAGCAGAACCCCAAGCCCAGTTCAGAGGAGATATCCTTGATAGCAGAGCAGCTCTCCATGGAAAAGGAGGTGGTTCGGGTCTGGTTCTGCAACCGGCGCCAGAAGGAAAAACGGATCAGCTGCCCGATGCCATCCCCCATCAAATCACCTATCTACAATTCCAGACTGGTGAGACACTTTGGATGAAGGAGTTCTACGTGCCGTCCCAGACAAAAAGGGGAAAGGGCAGGGGGATGCAGCAGGGTTTGATGGAAAAGGAAACAGGCCAGGACGCTTCCTTGCACCCTGAGCTGCTGGCAGGCCCACTCCTCCGTCCAGAGTGTGCAGAGAGGCAGGTGGGCTAGCCATGGGTTGGACATGTACTCACCATCCCAGCTTGGATGGGATCACATGCCCGCACTTACAGAACTTTTATTCTATTAGTGAAAACAACAGAAAGAAAATACAAGTTACCTAGAAAGTGGAGCTCAATATAATTGGAGGATAATTTATCCAAATAGGGGTGCTATCCCAGAACTTTTCACCCTTAGATTGGTCAATAAAAGCTTTCCAAAGTTAACAGAGTAGGAATCAGCGCTCCATGGAACGAGAATTAAATCCATTCATGTCAACAGAGTTGTTAACTCTGAAACCTAATGGTAACCATTTACATATCAGCTTGTTGTTTTACAAGACCTGCAGAATACACTTCCGTGGTGTTAACTGCCCTTCTCTCATGTTGTACAGTCGCACTTTGGCAAGTGTATTTTCATTGCCAGGAAGGATGAGGGAAATTGTTGTGAGAGTTGGTGAAAATGTGTCCTTGTAATCTACTGTCGGTGGCTACTGCGGGTAACAAGCTACTACTGCGTTTCGGCTAGTTAATAGTTGCGTGGCTGCTTCCACATATAAAAGTGGCAGGAACCTCCCTACGGTGTTGTTAGTGCCAGAGCACATGTGAGTGGGAGGGAGAGTACGTCCTCGCAAGCAATATTTTATCTTGAAATCTCCTGGGTTTTGGAATTATCCATCAGAAGGCGGGAAAAGATCACAAGAAGTTGGGTCACTTGTTGCGCAACACGTTTGCTCTACAGTCACAAACACAAAATGCCGCTTGCAAGCCATGAATTTTTAAAGCAGTAGCTTCGGTGAATAATTTTCCTGTGGATGCGTTGTGCAAAGTCTGCCTTTGCTCATCAGTCGTTCCGAACAAGCGCTGCCTGTAGTTAAGGCATCACAGTTGAACAACAAATGCCCCAGGCTCGTTTTGATTGCAGCCACCAAATTACTAATTGTCACCTGAGAATTCTCACCCGTCAAGAAGTCCCTAGAGCAAAAAGGGATTGTGCCTAAAAACCAGAGTGAGCTGGGAAGTTTCAGACTGGGAATACCCGGTCTGGGAATAAACATCCACCGGGCAGCAGCTCCTACCAACCGGATCTTGGGACTTCCAGAGAGTTTGGCTTGTGTTTGATAATTTCAGGCTTTTCCATTAGTTGATCCATAAATTTAGACCTATGTAGAGAGTGTCAAGCGCATGTAACGCCCGTTTTGGTTTCTTTCCATGGTCCTGGATATGGGAATGGTGCTTCTACCCTAGACTATAAATAGAAGTATCTGTGGGAGCCTCAGATGTAGATAAGGAGCCTGCCTGGGAGCCAGCACGCTCTAAAGGGAATGTGGAAGGAGTGGCATTTTGTGATCTACACCCTCACAGCGCCAGCTGCTTAACCGTTCGCTTCTGTTTCTCTCCAGGTCTCTACCTCAGGGTCCTTGGGGCCCCTCTCTGTCAATCCGGTGCATAGCACCATGCCTGGGACGGGTAAGCCTTGAGAATCCTGTCTCCCTCACCGTTCCTTCCCTCCTTTGCTCTTGCTCTCTGAGTTTAGGTCGCATCTGCAGGCCACTCAATAAAACCCTTGGGTTTGGCCAGGGGAAGTATCCCCACATAACTAGTGTGCAAGGGATAAAAACAGGCAAGTCTTTCCTTTGACTGGAACAACAAGATGGAAAGCTTCCTGGGCATGATAACCTTCCCAGGGTAATCCCAGGCAAATTTTATTGGCCACTTAGGTTTGGGAGCCAGGCACACCTAGAAGGCAAACAAGAGGAGTGCCCGGGGTTAGGTTACTGCGTAGCCTCGGCAGAACACAGTCAGATCCCCTCTGAGAAGTGGGATTCACAGGAACAGAAACCAAGTCACAGTCCTGGAGACCCCCACCCTCTGCAGGGCAGTGAACCCGTGAACCACAGGATGGGTCCATGACACGGTGGGAGCGTTTGGGCTTGGGCTGTCCTTAGCAGGAAAAAAAAAAAAAAAAAAAAAAGGAGATCCCGGTCTTATTCTGCTTTCTCTGCCACACAGTAACATCATCGTGCTCCCCAGGCAACTCCAGCAGGCCCTCGTCCCCTGGCAGTGCACTCCATGCCAGCAGCCCCGGCACAGCCCAGAGCAACTCCAAAGCTGCCATGAATTCGTCCGGTTTCAACTCTTCAGGGTAAGGCAGCGGGGCCCCACAGCTTGCTCCTTGGCCAGAGGAGGGCTTGGGGAGAAAAGCGGTGGCACCATAGCGAAGAACGTGCAAAGCCCGTAGAGACTCCAGCAGTGTGGAGCGATGGGCTGGCACGTTCTTACATGAAGCTTCACATCGCACCTGAAGCTTCTTGGGATCTGGCTATTTTTCTGCTTGAAGACGAATAGTACATCAAGTTTTGCCTGAAAAACTGTGCTGGTTTAAAAAAGGGAAAAAAAAAAAAAAACACAAAACAACAAACCATGAACCAAAAACCTGAATATAAATGCTGGCCATAAGGACTGTCCTAAGCAGTGTGGAGGGAGCAGAGAAACGCCTGTTTTGCTGTTTCTGCTTGGATAACCCCCTCCACGGGCAGTTTTCTCTCCTGCGGTGCCACCCAGAGAGCTCTGCTGCAGAGCAGCTATTCCACGGTGGCAGATGAAGGAGGATTTTCCTCTGCCCTGCCTTTAGGTGCTACCACGCATGTGGGCTCAGAGCCCTCCTGGTTCTTTCACCGAACGCGCCTCTGCCACACAGCCTGTGCTGCTCAGGCCTCCCTGCACTGGTAGTTTTTCCGCTCCATTGCATCAAGGATGCTGTGTTAGTAGGAAGGCAACAGAGAGCAGAGGGCGTTACCGGTAGCTGCTGGGCTTCCTGAGTCACGGCTCGGGCTGCGCGTGAATCAGACCCTCGTCTTACGCCAAGTCCAACAGCCGGGCAGCGCGTGAAATCAGGAGCACAATGGAAGATGTCGCTTAGAAAGACAGGGGGGTTTGCTCTGAGCTCCCTGTAAGAGCTATCTGCTGGCTGCCAGGTCGAAGTAAGGTTACAAAGGAAGTAATAATGATTTTTATTTCAAGGGAAACCGTTAACTACGCGGCAACTGTAGCTCTTATTCCCTGTGTTGCAAACAGATCTTGGTACCGATGGAATCAACCTACCTACCTCCACTGAGACGACTCCTCCATCACGTGTCAAAGAAGCTCTGACTTCCAGCTATGGACCAACTTCTCGAGGAACAATGCTTGGGGCAACATCTGGCATTCCAGTGCCTTCAAAATGCCGCCAAACGAAGGTCTTGTTTAAGGGAGCCCATAGCAGCAGAACTCTCCGGGGACTCGCACTGCAGCTGACCTTCCCCAAGGATTCTCCATGCCAACAGTGACATTATAACCCTCTTCCAGGCATTCACTTCAGGAATGAGCCCTTGCTTAGCACTATTAGCATGAAACACTGCCCTCTGCTTGCAAATCTCTGCGCTCACACTGGATCGCCTGGCAATCTCTTAATCTGGAAGGATTTCTGTAGCAGGACCCCCTTTTCCCCCCTCACTCATTTCAGAGCTGTAAGAAGGGTCTATCATGCTGTTACTATCACGCACACGTACCATAAACCCCCAAACTGAGCCGAGCTTACCCAGTTCATTTCACCAGAGACCTGTGTCTAGATGTGAGCCTTGGTTTTCAATCGACTCCCAAGGTCAAGGGCACTGTGCTTGATCCACTACCAAACTCGCTTTGCTTTGAGCCGTTCTGCTCTGTTTCTAAAGGTGTTGCTTTTTTTTTTTCCTTTTTTTCCTTTTTTTTTTTTTTTTAATTAAGTATTTTAGAGCCTTCTTATTTTTTCCTTTTAAAAAAAAATTGTTGTCTTTTGCAAAATTTGTGTCCAGGTCTTGTTATTGTTCACAGCTGGCCCCGCTGGAGGACGTCACTGTTTGAAAACCTTGGGTGAACTTCTGACTCCGTTGAACACAGAGCAGTTTCTGTTGATGGGACAAGGATTAGTCTTGACCCTCCCTTCTTTCTTTTATTCATCCTTCGGGTTTTATCTGATACCAAATGAAATCAACCTCTCTGGAGTAGAGGTGTGCATGTGTTCTGGTCTTTCCTGAACTGTAAGTAACGTAGTTTGCCTGTTCTCTGCAGCATGCTCTTCGGTTCCTGGGAGGACAAGTTGTATCGCTCAGGTGCGAACCTTGAGGTTTGTGTGTGCAAGTGTTTCTTAACTTCATGAGATGCCAAAGTGTAGGAAACTTCGACTTTCACAGCATATCACCAAGGAAATTGTTGTTCTGTGGCAGCTCTCCACTTGAAAAGAGGCAGATATTTAATTTTGTTAAAGTAGACTTGAGTAATACAAATTCCCGGTCAGGTTGTCTACGGTTGTCTACATAATTCATTCAGTGGAACTAGAGTAAGTGAGTGAATCCGATTCACAGACTGTAAATAGACATTTTTGAGCAGTAGACTTTGATGGCTTTTTTTTTTTTTTTTTTTTTTTTTTT